AGTGTAAGCACTGTGTAACTGCCTCGAGGGTGCTTGACCATTTTAACACAGCGTGGTGCGATCATCCGCCTTGCCCGGGGTGAGGCTTCTCGACCCCGCACAACATGATCTACTCGACCACCACTATGGTTACCGCCAAAAAAATAACAGAGGTAAAAAAACACGGTAACCTGGTTGCCGAGTTCACGAAGTGAATTGGCTTGTTTTACAACGTCGTTGCCAAGCGACGAAAACCCAATCCCGATGGCAAACACCGAGGGGGGGGGGTGCAAACGGGTTGGGGTGACTCATTTTACCTTTCCATATCTCTACGGTAGGACAACGAGGAAACGTACTAAGGTAGAATAAATTCTATAGCTCAAGCGAGGGTGCTACGGCGGGAGCGAAGGAAGCCATCCAAGTCGCACATATTGGGATATGCTCTCTCCAAGTCAAGCGCACCTGCTTGCGAATCTCTTCAATGACGCTCGGTCGGATCTTGTCCTTCGCGAGGGAAACGTCGTGCTTCTGAGCGAAGTTATCGCTCTCATCGCGATCCTCCCACACGCCCGAGAAGTGCCTGCCGAGCGCGGACGCGACAACGATTTGCACGACAATCGCAGCAGACGACGTGAGGCGGGTGCGAGGATCGCGCTTGCCGTCCCAACATCGCCGACAAAGGGCTTACCGCAGCAGCTGGCTCGCAAGGAACACAAGCACGATGAAGCAGCGTCTCGCTCTTGCCTGAATATTTTCGTTCTAAGCCGCGACAGCGAGATCACAGACCACAGAAGTTAGTTTTCGAAACGACAGAAAGGCAACGTCCTGGCATGTGCTGTTGATCGTCTTCTGTGGAAATCTGTAAGCGCCAGATGCGAAAACATGAAATTGCATCTCCATGCCCGCCTTTACTACTGTAGGTACATGTAGCATAGGCGTTGAAAGCAAACGGTGTGGCGCTACGTGTCAGTGGCGACTATGTAGGGGTCGAATAGCATGCCCTTGGCCGTAGCACGCCAGCGGAACGGCGAACGGACAATGTCCCAGAGTATCGTCGACCGATACGCTCGCCGATGCATCAAACTCGGTACCTTTCACTTGCCATCAACACAGTTTAAGGCACCCCACGGCGACCTACCGACGAAGCACGTCCACGCCATACCCGGCGTGGTTCATAACCTCGTAAAATTGTTAAAACGCCAGACCAGAATTGTTTCATACGCACTACAGTAGTTGTACTGTCCCAAGACTTCTAGCACGGGCTTAGGTCTCGTCCAGCTGCGCTGGCGCAGCTTGGTGATACGGAGCGCAAACAAATATGCAAGAGTCTCGTCGCTTCCTCACTTGACTTCGGCGAAGATTTTCTCGGCGAGCTCGGATTTCCCCTGCAGAGGAGGCGGCAACTCCGGCGGTTCATCCGGATCCCCCCCGCCTCCTTTGCCCCCCTTTTTCCCCTTCCCTCCTTTCCCTCCTTTGCCCCCCTTCCCCTTCCCCTTGTCCTCTGTGGCGCCCTTCCCTTTGGCGTCTTTCCCCTGTACTTCACCCGGAGTTGCCCGCGAGCAGGGGGGCACGAGCAATGCGAAACAACGTGCATATGTTGGGCAGAGGATGAAACCAAAGAGCGCGTCAAGAACGGGGGGGGCTCAGGTCCGAGGGGTGTTCATCATGCTACGCTTGCCTGTAAACCACGTTTCGAGCATGTTCAAAATGAATTAAGCCGTCACACGCCAGCTGTAGGAACGATCTCGGGCTCGCCTGCGTCAACAATCTAGCGTACTCCGGGAACATGACGTACGTATATGGGCCGGAGGACATCAAACGGTTGGCTACGGTGCGCAACGTGAGGAAGACAAGTTGCTCCTCTTTATCCAATCTCCATGAGGTCTCGAGCACAGGCCGTCTGCGCGTACGCCGAGGGGGAGCTATTGCCCGACATGTCACCCAGCGCTGACCTTCCCCTTCTTGCCGCCGCCCTCCTCCTCCGCCGGAGGTTTTTCCTCGGACGGCGGGTTCTTGAGCAAGTAGAACCCCTCGAGGTCCTCCGGGAACTTGTCTTGCGCGATCTGATCCGTCACCCACAGCGTTCGCTCCTCCCGAAGAGTCTCTCGCATCTCTGGACCCTCCTGCAGACCCACGTCGCCAGTGTGCGGAACGTCACACAATTTCCTGGTTTCGGTGGAGAAGCAAAGAAGCAGCCCCCCCTTCTTTCCCGGGCGGTTGCCATGGTTCACAAGCAACCAGCGACGAAAGATCCAGTCTACCCCGAGAAACCGGAGCTCGTTCGCTTAGGTACGACGTGCGTGGGAGCGCGTTTGACATGTGTCCTGCTGGCAGGGAGGGCTTTGCATGGATCGTACTGCCACATACGTATCATAGAAGGTGACATCACAGCCGAGAGAAAGGGCCGCTCGCAATTTCACATCACACTTTTTGCCTATGCAGGAAATCAGAGGGAAAGCGGAATATATGTCGGAGAAGAAGTGAGTAGTAATTCTTTTCTCTCACCTCTTCGAGCACGACGTCCTTCAGATCCTCCAGAGCCTCCTCGTACGCGTCTCTGTTGTCCGTCTGTCGGCAAACCGATGCGTAACAACCGGTGTTTTTCGTTGGCATCATCAGACATCCCGACGATGTTCTCGAAGCAGCACCCGCTGACTGATTTTCTTGTTATTACGGGGCTTGGGTCTCATAAGCCTTATGGGAGCAAGGACATCAGACAGACAACCCTTCTGTGGCCTGTCGATTGCTTGCGGTGCGACAGCTTTCTGCCACACACACACACCCCTCTTTCTCTGCTCACTCTTTCCCTTTCTCTGTCAAGAAATTTGCCCCCTGCCCCAGGAAATCGAGAGGAGCGATATCTGCTACACTCCACGAGCAATTTCTTCAGCGAGAGTCGACTACCCTATCTCACGAGAAACAACTACGTATCCTCTCGGTTCGGCCCTCGCCTGCTCCTGTTTCCGCTTTTGATACGCAATGTCCAGCTCCCTCTGCAAGTCGTCCAGAGTGCTCTCCGCGGGCTTCATCCCGATGTAGATCATCTCGTCCTCGCGCTCCTGTCGCGCACGCCTTCGGGCAGCCGATCCACGGAAAAGGCGCTGTCGTGTAGGTATGGGTGCATCGCGTGGTGAATGCGAGAGAGGAAGGTGGGGCACGTGGGAAGAAGGATCGCAGGGCGGATGGCGCGAAGATAGACAAAAAGAATACTCGCAGTAGGTCAATTCCGCGGCGCACAGCAGTGCTGTGGTATAAACCGTGAACAACAGCTCATCGGCCAAAATGATGAAAAGCACTCCTCATGTCTTCAGAAGGTCTTCGCGTCGACGGTGTATGCAAAGAGCTCACGCAATAGTTGGCTGGAGGAAGACTAACGTTACTGCACGCACGTTGGCGTTACGACGTACCGTATCCGGGCCCTTCTTTCTACGAAATCCCCGGAAGTGACTCTTCCTCTGTTCCTGGAACATTCGACGCTAATACGTAGACTCCCTTCCTCGTTCCATCCCCTACCCTCCGGTACACAACAGCAGTATTCATTTGCAACATCTGTAGAGCCACCTTCAAAATGCATGCTCTGATCCTCGAACGGCGGCCGACGAAGAGACGAAGGCGCACTTAGCAGGGCAGCACCAAACACAACGCCCTACGGGAAAGTAGAGGCTGCGGGGCATGCCTAAAACAGCAGAAGCAGTTTCGACAAGACTGTTGGTGGTCGTCAGCGTATCCCGCTTGAGCACCCAGCAAGACGTCAAGTTCGATTTGGGGTAGGACACGGAAGGGCCCTCAATAACGTCGGTACGTGCCCGGCGCATCGACCGGCGCTATTCCGAGGGATCGGTGGTATTCAATGTACAGAATGAAGTGGTGATTCGGTTTGTGCCCAGCAATTTCACCGGCGCAATATAGGGCCACCGGCGCTAATCCACCGGCGTTATTGACGCCCACCAACTGTACCTGGATGTTTGCGGCGGCGATCTCCGGGTCCATTTCCAACTGATCCGTCGCGTCGTAAATGCGCCTCTTCTTTTCCTCTTCCCTGAGCTCCTTCAACAGCAGGGCCCTCTGCTTTCCCTGCCTGCCTCGCTCGTTCCGCTGAATAATCTCGAGTGCCTGCGCCAATATCAACACCATTGTGGTTGGTTGGGTGGGGGTGGATTTATTCGTTATTAGAAACACGACACAGTAAGGTCGCATCACGACGACTAGGAGCCTGTAAATGTGGAACTGTCGGAGATAAAAACCGAAAGGATACATGGTTCTACCGCAATCAAGCACACATGCCACAAAGCACTGAAGTCAAAGTCCGCCAAATCTGAAGTTGGGCGGTTGAAAGCGGTCAAATCCGTTGTATTACGCCGTTTTGGGTCTCGGCGTGCTCTCTCCCTCTCCATCGCCCAAGAGAGTACGAAGTACTAAACTTCAGCGAAATAACAAGTACCCCTCGGCCTACCCAAACCCTCACCTGATCTAGTGACATTTCTCCTGCCGCCGAGTCGGGGTCCTCTTTGTCGTCCAGCGGCAACCCATCGGCGGTTTTAAGCTTGAGCTTTATGTAGCCCTTGACGAGCGTGTCCCGAGCGGTGATCTCGACCGCGCTATCCTGTTTGAAGTACCTGCCAAGAAATTCGCCACGAAAGAAGAAAAGACTCACATCTTCAGCTGTTGTGTGAGCCCCCTCTGCGATGAAAGAACCCAAGACTCTTTCTTCCTTATTTCCTTGCTGTGTGTAAGCCTACTCTTCTGCCTGGTCCCCTCTGTGTTTCAACATGTCTGTGCTCTTCCTTCCTCTCCACCTGCTTGGGTGTCGAAGCCCGACGTATTCGATCCCGGATTTCTAGGAATACGAGGGTCCGTGGTCGACAACCTTTAGCCATTCAAAGTGCCTGAGATTGCATGCCCACGCACCCCCAAAACCTTAGCACCCTCTGTCCCCGCCTGTCTACCTCCCCCCCTCTCCCCTAAGCTCTTGCCTGGGCACAGCGACGTCGAGTGTGTCCGGCGAGAGCTTCAGATCCACGAGGATGTCGTCGAGGTTGACGTAGTCCCAAGGAAACGCCTGCTCCGGGGCTGGTGGCGGGAAGCGCATGTCCGCGTTGGGCGGGTTCCACTTGACGAGCTCGTGCTTGAGCTCCAGCACGCGCCGGATCACCAGCTCGAGGACCATCTAGGGGAGAGATAAGGTTTGCCGACCGGTGACAGCGGGTGGGGG